ATTTTTGAAAACAATTAAGCAATTGAAAAATATTATGCATCACCTATATCTTTTATATATGATCCGTACCATTTTATCAAAGATCATAGCATTCTAGTTCATTGTTTGATATAAAACCAAACTAATAACTACAGAATTATTTGTATCATAAAACCATCTAACACTACAAATGGTCTTGCCAGACTCAGACTTCGGTACTGATCTACTACATATCCACTTATAACGGAATTAGGCAACATCTCTCCAAAGGACGTAATGGCGTTTTTAACTGGTACTCGTCTATGGAACTGAAGTGGGTATGTCACAATAATCCTCAAAGGACTTCGGTACTTATGTACTGCCTATTCACTTATAACGGAATTAGGCAACATCTCTCCAAATGACATAATGGCAATATTTACTGGTACTCGTCTATTAAACTAAATGGTATGTCACAATAATCCTCAAAGGTTGCGGCGACGTGGTGACAACTTTCCAACCTATCTTAAAATCGAATCTAATCTCACAATATAAATATTAGAGCGATTTAACACACTAACCCTTATGTATTAAAATTCCAACATATTCGCATCTAAACTCATTTGAACTTCATATTTCTTTCTTCATCGTAACGCTCCTCTTCGTAATACGCAAAAATGTATCAAAATCAATTATTGCGACGTATGAGTGATTTAATTTCCCTAATGCCTCTCTGAACCATGCTACGATTGTGAACAAATAAAGGTGTTTTTAGGAATGCTAACACGTCTAGACTAATGGTAAGAAAACTCAAAAATGAGTTTTAAGATACAATAAAATTTTTTTTATTTAATATCAAATATTTGAATTAAAAATTTTAATATTCAAATAGACTTAAAGATTCAAAGTTCAAAGTGAGACTGCGTGTGCGAAATTCGCTCATTCAGGAGTATCTAAGAACTTCAATGACTTGCGGCACGTAAAAAGATATTCACGATATTCCATGTATAAAAATTGTTATACTAACATTATTTGAAAAAAAAAAAAGATATGAAAAATTGTTACGTTCATGAGAAAAAAAAACTCAAATATATTATAATTAAAAGTTAAATATTTATTAATTATATGTTTTAGTAGTTCATTGTATCGTGAGGGTGTTTAGTGCGCAATAGCAGTTACCTTTCAAAACTAATATTTTACTTTACTTATGCAGTGCGAAATACAAAAGATTTTCCATTTGTTTAAATGAATTTAATTTGCACGAAATTGTTTAAATAATATATAAAAATTTCCTAAATATTTTATTCAAATTTTTTCAAATTAAAAATTTTTTTTCAATATTTATTAAACTCATTAACGAAATATTTCGAAGAAATTTGATTGTAGGTTGTAAAATATTTGTTATTACTTTTATTGAATTTTACTCTATACGTTTTAATAGGTTTTCTTAGAAAAATCCTCTCTTGTTTATAAAATTATTTTAATTAAAAAATCTTATAACAATTTACAGAATAACATGCAAATTTATTTTGAAAATTGTTATTAAACAGTGAAAATATTTCAAGATTATACGACCTACAAACATATATATGTATATATAGTATGTAAATAAAAATAATCTCTTCTCTCGTAAATAACAAAAATATTTGTGCAGATAAACATTCCATTTAAGTAAAAACAACAAAACAATTTTCATTTCACGTGAATTTAAAATTATTTAATATAATTAATCAGAATGTAGTGTTCTTCAATGCACGTTTCTTTAAATTAAATCTGTTTTCCCACTAATTATTTTGACAATTGTCCAATTAAACCAAAACAAATAAAATCTTCTGCCAAATGATTAATTAAAAATAAATTGTTTTTGTTATTCTATACGATGTATATTTTATTATTATTTAGTAACTCCTATTTATTTTCGCTTTGTTCTAAATAAATAATTTAATTAATTAAAATTATTTCTAATTAATTTTGCACTAATTTCAAGAAAATATTTTTTATCGCATTTGTTTGTTTCAAATTGTATCTTTTTCTGCGCTTTGATATATGTGTTATCATTTTCGATATATTATAGGTCATATATATTTAAGACACTTCTGCATGTGTCTTTAAATATTTCAGCCTTGAAATTGAAAAAAAATTAAAAATGTCTAGAATTTTTATTTTGTGACGTATTTTACGCTACGAAATTTGACGATTCTTATAAAATTATTAACGCATGATTTCTAAACGTAATTTATTTTTAATTAACCAGCACTGTAGATTTATCTATATATGTACCATAATATTATTATCTATATATATTTTGTATAATACATAATAAAACAAAAATACGTAATACTTGAAAGTTTTCAAAATTAAAGAGAAATCTTTATTCTTTATAAAAGTGATTCTTGAGAAAGTAATCAAATGTCTTTCAAATTCTATTTAATTATCTCGCACTGCATAAGTGCAAATAATTTAAATCATTTAATTCGGCTCATTTAAATGCACTGAAATCATATTTAATAGAATAATTTGATTAAAAACAGAAATACACATACATTTATCATCAGATTCAGAAATCAATGCGAATTATAGATTAATTATAGATTATAGATTATTACTTACAACACCTCATCAGCTGCGTGATCTGGTACCATAAGATCTATAAACCCGCAACTGCGGTTATTCCAGATATTGAATTTCCGCAGTAAGGGAGTGACATGGTGGTGGTCTTGGCGTAACATCTGAAGTTACACAATGGTTTCACAATTTTTCAATTGTGAAACTACTTTTCAAAGAACAGTAGAGGCGTAGATGGGCCTCGCTACATAACAAGGAGGAAGTTGTATCCAAATATGTAATTTTAATTGAGACCGGCAGAACAAACTAAACAAGTAAAACAACTAGAACTCATGACGACATAATATGTAGAGTAGAGTATTGATTGAGTGCTTGAAGAATATCGTTTGGATGACATATAAACCTCTGCTAAGCTTTTTTAGTAATGAAGTTCATTTATTGCTTCTTGGATATGTCAATAAACAAAATAAGTCATAATTAAGACAATGAAAGTATGACTATGTTATTCGGTCTAGAGGGGTTAATTTACTATTTTATTTTAATATATATTTTAAATATAAAGAAGGAATGACACAAACTGTAAAATCTGAATAATATAGCCAATTTTTTGTGGTACATATAAAAATATGGATATAGAACACGTATTTTTGGCAAAAGGGAGTCGTTAGCTACATGAAACGTTCTATTTTGACTTCGTTGACTAAGAAATTTTTTGGATACTTAATCTCACATTTGGAAGATGTGGGTCACTAGTACACTTTTTTGTACAGGGTATTGCAAAGGATAGTGAGTATATGGACAATTGATTAACTGTGAATGTTCTTAAACATTTTGACGACTATACGTCAAATTGTGGCCGTCAAATATTCTGAAAATGACCCACTGCCACATTAACATAATCTAACTTACCTCTAGTTACTTAGAGAACAAAAATTATCTACTATTTGTGTTGTGTTGTTTGGTTCAAAAAATAAGGAAAATCGTATGGTAACATAAAATAGCGCTGTTTTGAAAATCTACACATCTGACGTAGCATAAATTTTTTCTGATTTTTCGAGATTCCATTGACGTACTTCTTTTATTTCGTCTTAAATAATGGCCGAAGAAAAGAACGCATAAAAGGGGCAGAGTCTATGACGTCAAATATCACATGCTACGCTGTTTGTTTAATTAGTTGAGCAATATTATTATGTATAATATTCAAATTGAGATATACAATTTAATTTAAATCTAATGGGCACTCTAATTATTAGCATAGAGAATAGCTTAGAGAATATTTGGAACAAGAAATAATATATAGTTACCTCTTAAATCGTTTCTTCTCAAAAAATCTGCATATGATATGGAAATTAAATCTAAATGTGTTTAAATTAATTAACTGTTGGTGTAAAGTTCTTTTCACATAGGTTTAATGTTATAAAGATATTTTTTTTATTTTAATCATTTATAGCCACTAAATTAATAATTGCTTTTAAAATTAATTAAAATTTTGTTATAATTAAAATTATAATATATATACTAAATACTGAACACAAAACTGGGAAACACCAATGGATTGGTTTAATTTTTCGTTAATTATTTTTTGAACTGTCAATATAAAGAATCGAATATAAATTAATATGTTATATGAAATAATTAAGATTAGCATATTACATGATTATAGACATACGAACTTAACATATATATTTTATTTATTAAAT